GAGTATGCGGCATCGTGTCCCACAGAAGACTCCTCATGATGGTGAGGAAGTTTGGCCCTCGCCTGCTAACCAGTGGTCAACATCAGCACCACTAGTCGTGAGACGACCAGACTTTATGCACCCCTGACAGGCACAACACGAGTGACTGTCAACAGTGGTCAACATCAGCACCAATAACCATGAGACGACCAGACTTCATTCACCCCCTGACAGGTACAACACGAGTGACTGTCACCCATTAAGGAAATTAATGAAGCCTTCCGGTTTCAAGGGAATGGAAGCATAAATGGCTAAGAGGAGAGAATCACAAATCCAGAATGTCGATGTTCTGTTACTGACTTCAGTTATTCAAGAGTAACGTGGTTTTAATGAGAAGTATTTCCCTGTCTCAGTGCTGTCTGGGTGGTTTGGAGGTACTTTCTGGCTGGAGAAGTGTGCCGCTGAGAGTTCAAAGACTTCCATGCCACTTCTAGTTTCAACTCTCTACAAACTGCTCCAGCCACCACGCTGGCCTGTTACCTCACACTCCAGAACCATAAGCCAAAAGATAAGCTTCCTTATGTCGCCTTGGTAATGCTGTTTTATCACAGCAACAGGAAATGAAGTCAAGTTATTAAGGGGAATGAGGACTTTTAGATTGGGAGATTAGAATAGATGAGCATGGTGGTATATATGTATGCTCTCAGTACACCAGGCGCAGAGGTAGGAGAACCAACAGAAGTTTGAAGACTGCTGGGACTGGTTGGTGTGTTCCAGGTCTGCCAGGGCTCCATAGCAAGAGCCTATCTGAAGAACTAGCCAACAAGAGAAATAACAGTGAGGTATGGCTGGGCATTGGTGGCGCATGTCTTTGGTCCCAGCACTCATGAGGCAGAGGCAGGCAGATCTCTGTAAGCTCCAGGCCAGCCTGGTCTACAGAGTGAGTTCTAGGACAGGCTCCAAAACAATACAGAGAAACCCTGTCTCGAAAAAAACAAAAACACAAAAAACCAATGAGGTATGTAAGTGTTGACTGGACAGGCCAGGCTAGTGTTAACAGAGGTGATGTGTTCACTGACAGCACTGTGGCACCCCCCCACACACACACACACAAAACCCTGTGGGTGGAAATTTGAACATAGACGATAGTAGATGATGCTTGGATTTTCTATTATGTGATGCTAAATTGCTGGTTTTATTAGGTGTGAAATTTATACTTAGGGGGAAAGGCCCAGGTTTAGGTGTTTAGGGATGCCTCCAAGTAGTATAACCAAAATACTGTGTTACATACCTGGATGTGGAGGCAACTTGCCTATAATTCCAGTACCTGGGGAGTGGAGTTACGAGGGTAAGGAAATATCACAGCCAGACTCAGCTCTGTAGTGAGTTCAGAGTCAGCCTAGGCTATGTGAGACTCTCTCAAAGAACAAAAATTATGTAAAATATTTTATACTATTCTTATATATGAACAATTGCTTATATATGTATATATGTGTTCACATGAAATATAAAAAGCAAACTGTTAGCAGTTACTGAAGTTAATGGAGAATGTGCCACAGTTCCTGGTACTAACCTCTCAACTTTCCTGTATATTTGACAGTTTTCAAAATAAAAACATGGGGGAGAGTATTCATAGCCTTGTAATACAAATAATAAAAACCTATATACAGATATTGAGATTCATTCTGAAGGTCAGAGAAGCAAAGCAGCCAGCCACTAGAGAGTTCCTACCTCTACCAAGCCTGGGGCACTGTTGTATCCAGGAATCCTCAATGTGGCTGGAGATTGAATATTGAATATGAAAATGAGACCCTGAGCTTCTGTCTTATAAACCTCTCTAGTGCTGGGATTAAAAGTGTTTTATCACAAGTGTTTTGATCAAAGAGCTCTGTTTCTGTTTTAGACTGATTTATTCTCAGGTAGCCCTGGATAGCCTTGAACTCACAGAGAGATCCATCTGCCTCCATCTCCCAAGTGCTGGTATTAAAGGTGTGGCTATCACTGCCTGGCTTCTATGGCTGAGGGTAGCTTTACATACTGATCTTCAGACAAGCTTTATTAGATCATAAACACCTGGCTAGAGTAGATTTTGAATGTCTATTTGTGTGTGTGTGTGTGTGTGTGTGTGTGTGTGTGTGATGGAAGGAGAATGGTGGAAAATTCTGGGTGATAGCCATTGCTTATTAAGTGGAGATATAACGTGAAATTACAAACCCACATGTGGTCCTCAGAAACAAAAGACAACAGAAAGTGTTAATCCTGTTGGTGGAGAATAAAACTACTACTGAAATATAAAGCCGAATTTGAAGCAAGCTTTAAATAAATAATGACCAGGTGGACGGGATCAGGCCAGGTCCTTACCCAGGTTCCTGGGAAATGGCCCCAAATTAAGTTTTGCAAGGGCTTAAGAAGGAAACCCATAATTCATTGCATTTCCCATCAGGTCCAATTGGGCAAACATACATGCTGATATATCTTCTGCCCACGTGTGATAAAGGATATCCAGTGCAGATGGGACAAACACACTTGCTTAGGGGAATGAAAACATGTAACTTGT